GAGGACAAGCGCTTTTCGCCCGAGGAGATCTCGTCGATGGTCCTTACGCGCATGAAGGAGACAGCGGAGAACTACCTCGGCCAGGAGATCAAGCAGGCTGTTGTCACGGTCCCTGCGTACTTCAACGACCAGCAGCGCCAGTCGACGAAGGATGCCGGTGCCATTGCCGGCCTCGACGTCAAGCGCATCATCAACGAGCCCACGGCCGCCGCCCTCGCGTACGGCTTGGACACGAACGCCGGTGCCGATGGCTCGAAGACCAACATCCTCATCTTCGATCTCGGTGGTGGTACCTTCGATGTGTCGATCCTCTCGATCGAGAACGGCATCTTCGAAGTCAAGTCGACGGGCGGTGACACGCATCTCGGTGGTGAAGATTTCGACTCGAACATGGTCGACTTCCTCGTCACGGAGTTCAAGCGCAAGAACAAGGGCCTTGACCCCACGTCGTCGGCTCGCTCGATGCGCCGTCTCCGCACGGCCTGCGAGTCGGCCAAGCGCATGCTTTCCACGACGACGTCGGCTTCGATCGAGGTTGATTCGCTCTTCGAGGGCGTTGACTTCTCGTCGACGATGACGCGCGCCAAGTTCGAGTCGCTCAACGAAGAGTGCTTCAAGCGCACGGAGGAGACCGTCCTCAAGGTGCTCGCCGACGCCAACATGCAGCCCGGTGACATCACGGAGCTCGTCCTTGTCGGCGGTTCCACGCGTATCCCCAAGGTGCAGAACATGCTCTCGGCTGTCTTCGGCGGCAAGGAGCTCTCGAAGTCGATCAACCCGGATGAGGCCGTCGCGTACGGTGCTGCCGTCCAGGGCGCCATCCTCTCGGGCATCCGCAACGACGCCACGAACTCGCTCCTCCTCGTCGATGTGACGCCGCTCTCGCTCGGTATTGAGCTTGTTGGCAAGGTCATGTCGGTGCTCATCAAGCGCAACACGGCGATTCCCGTCAAGAAGACGCGCATCTACACGACCGAAGAGGACTGGCAGACGACGGAGAAGGTCGTTATCTTCGAAGGCGAGCGTGCCTGCGTCGTCGACAACAACAAACTCGGCGAGTTCGAGATCTCGGGCATTGAGCGCGCCAAGCGCGGCGAGCCGCAGATCGAAGTCACGTTCGAGATCGATGCCAACGGTATCCTCCACGTCTCGGCCCGCGACAAGAAGACGGGTGCCAAGAACGCGACGACGATCTCCAACAACCGCGGCCGCCTCACCCAGCAGGACATTGACCGCATGGTCGAAGAGGCCGAGAAGTTCAAGAAGGATGACGCGCAGATGCTCAAGCGCATCGACGCCCGCAACGACCTCGAGGGCTACCTCTACCGCGCGCTCGAAGCCGCCTCCAAGAAGAACGACGCGGCCGCCCAGACCGCGCTTTGCGAAGCCCGTGACTGGATGGACGACAACGAGGAACTCACGGTGCGCGAACTCGAAGACAAGCGTCGTGTCCTCGAGCGCACGTACAAGTATTAGATCATCATCGCTGCTCGCCACCCACGCTAACTCTAATAATATGCCAGTGGCCGCCAACACAATATTTAGTCTCTTACTATAGTACTACGGAATAGTCCCGTAGTTGAAAGACGGCCGGGTTCTGCTGTTGGCCGTGGACGTCGCGTCGCCTCGCAGCAGGTGCGCGTGGATGAAGCTCAGGAACCGGAGCGCGTACTCGGGTGGTGGCAGCGCCGTGATCTTTCTTCGGTCTTGCACGAACGAGAGCACGAGGTGCTGGAGCTTCCACGCGATCGTGTAGTGCTGCAGAATGTCGATGAAGCCAACATAGTACACTTGGCGCTGGTCGGCCGACACGATCGCATTCTTGGCCAGCGACTCCTACGCCACGTTTCTCACCTTTCCATAAGCATATCCTAGTACCTCCGAGTCCTTGGAGGCGTCAAAGGGGCGGATGCCCAAGATGCAGCTGTAGTCCATGATGCCCATCTCCTGGAGGAAGCCGCAGTCGCTCGTCATCTGCGTGAGGAGCTCGAGGCGCACGTCCGACGTGACGTGCAGGTACGTGCCGCGGTCGACAAACTCGTCGTCGTGGAGCAAGTGCGTTGGTTTGGGCTGCGGCGGGCTCAGCAATCGAGTCTCCGGTTCGCGAATGTAGACGCGCAGCGGCGGCAAGAGGGCAGGCGCGAACGTGCCCTTGAGGTCATACCGCTCGTCGATGCGGTCCGTGCAGAGCACGTTCTCCATGACGACAAAGAACATTTTGTTCCAGCCCACGGGCAGCTGCATCCTACGAGAGCACGATATACGATCTGAGAGCGATCGGGAGACGACGTACGAGTGGCAGCCAACGTAGCGCACAAGGAGGCTCTTGGGCTGGCTGCGCACGTACGCGTGGTACGCCGGCAGGATGCGCATCAGGAACGCGTGCTCGTCCTTGGTCATCGTCTTGACAATGTACTTGCGGTCGTTCGTAAAGTAAAAGAGCATGCCCGACTTGCCCTCGGACGCGGTCTCGGAGAGCGTGCCCGTGAAGCTCGTCTCGTACGCGCCAGCCTCGATGCCCGCGAGCGACCGAAGGTTCTCAAAGATCCGCGGCGCGTAGTCGGTGAAGCCGAGCTTTTCGTAGTAGACCTTGAGCTTGTTCGAGTTGAGGCGGACAGTGGTCGCAAGCCGCTTCTTCTCGACGTACAAGCCCGGCGCGTCGAGGTCTGTCTCCTCCATGGACCGCAGCGACCCGAACGAGTGCGACCGGCTCGGCACGACTACGTCGGATGTCGAGTACGTTGCAAAGACGGACCGGGCGCGCTCGAGGCGGTGCGGCGACGCTTCGCGCAGCTCGTGCAAGCTGCGGATGATGCCCACCGAGGTATATCTACCTCGTATCAGATACCAGTGTTTCGAGAACAGAAGCGCTGTCTACCGCAAGAGGTCTTTTCGAAGCGACGTGCTAAAGTGGTCGGTCATGCCGTCGCTGTCGTCGGCGACCGGCGTCTCGGCGCGGCCACCGCCGAGGTGCTCGACGAGGTCCGTGTTGATGCTCCAGACGGCGAGCACGAAGAGCGGGTACAAGCCAAAGACGACTGCGAGCGTGAGCTGGATGTGGTGCGCGACGACGCCCGAAAAGGACTGGAGGTAGTCGCTGTAGTAGAGGCCGCCGCAGACGACCCAAAAGAGCCCGTACATGACGAGGTACCGGAAGTACTGGAGCAGCGACCGCCGCTTGGCGCGATATGTCGAGTCGAGCTGCCGCCGCGCAAAGCGAAAGGTCGCAAAGAGGAGCACGCCGAACGAGACGAGCCAGACGACAACGAGTGGCGCAAAGAGGAGGACCCAGTACGTCTCGTTGGTCTCGCGCACGCTCGCCGTGCGGTGCACCCAGCAAAGGTTGAGGCTCGAGAGACCGTAGAGACGGAACGAGTACATGGCCGCGGCCGAAATCGCGCTCAGCGACCACGTACTACACGCATTATGAGCATTCCAGACCGAGGACCAGTGGCGCGGACATGGTGTGGTACGTCCACGTCTTGACAGCGTAGCCCATCCACGGGTTCATGAGCGCAATGAAGAGATCGAACGACAGCATGAGGTACCAGAGACCGCTGCCGAGGAGGAAGAACTAGCATCCATCATCGCATGAGCCAATGTACTGGCACCGCCAGCCGCACCTGGTTGTACATGGACAAGAGGACGCAGTCGTCGTCTGTGACGGCGCCGTCGCCCTACAAGCGCGCTGTAGCCATCCTGCGCGGTGGAGAAGGAGGTAGATGTCATACCTGCAGAAAGTACTGCGCCACAAAGCCGAGCGTGAGCATAAAGTTGCAGTAGACGTGCCAGACCATGAGGTTGGCCGCGGGATGCTGCCGCTTGAGCTGCGGGAAGACCATGTACGAGAGCAGCGTGCAGAGATGCAGCGCGCAGCCCACGAGGCCCATGTACAAGTACACGCGGCTGCTGGCCGCCACGTCCAGCGCGTCGTAGGCCGCCATCGCAAATCTTGAATCCGCGTTATTTTATTGCATTAGCATCACCAGGTAATTAAATACGAGCGACGCATCCGGATACGGGGCAGCCGGCACCGAGTGTTGGCAGCAACTTCAACTGCCGCAAGCCGCCGAGTCTCAGGGGCGCTGGACGACGCGGCAGGCCCTGCTGTCGGCGCCACAGGCCCTACGACGCATGGTCGTTGGCTCAGAGCCAACTGCAGCAGCGACGACTGCCGAACGGACGCGGTACACGGAAGCGAGACGGTAGCAGCATGCCAAGGCCAAAGGGTTGCCCAACGACCCGAGTGCACGCGTGTGAAGAATGTGGCTGCATGGACCGGCGCACGGGGTCGGACGCAGCGGCGACGTGTCGCGTCAGGAACGTTGGCGGCGCATCCGGATACGGTGCCACGGCGTGCGGAAGATTTTGGGCAGAAACGACCGAAGCCAAGAAGCGACGATGGCCAGCTGGATGCGCTCGGGGGTACGTCTGCATGGCCAGCGACTGCGTCTCATGCGCCGAGTGAGCGTAGCTGCAGAACGTCGTCGACGGATCGCGACGGTGCGTGGGCTAGGCTATCGCCAGCTTCTGACGGCTAAAGTCTCTAGGCTCAAGGAAGAGATCCTCCAAAACGCAGGCGTCTACGGCGCCGGGTATTCGGACCCAGTCCTCGAAGCACGCACGCAGCGGTAGTGCACTCTCGAGACAATGCCATTGACACGACCGTGTGTATGTAGGTATGCACAGCACAGCGTTGCGATCGACCGGCTCCACGCAGCGACGACGACGTACATCAAGCAGCTCGACGCGCTATCGGTCGCGTCCACGAGCCTCGCGCACGAATTCAAGAGCTACTTCAACATGCAGCTCTCTCACGGTACGTCCGATTTGTATTGGGAACACGCTTGCATGACGTCCATGTAGCCACGGGCCAAGACGACGCGTCGGATGGGCTTGTGGGGTGCGAGTGGTGCTTTGTCGAGAAGGGACACTCAGGCTCCGTACGCTAGGCAGCTCGCCCGCGCGTCCGACTGTCTCGAGACGCTGCACTGGACGCTCAAGCAGCACGTCGTTGACGCGTCGGCGTCCATGCTCACGGAGAAGGTGCTCAAGCCACTTGGCAAGCTCAAGCAGGACGCTGCTGGGACGCAAAAGACCATCCAGCAGCGCAAGCAAAAGGTGTGTGTTTCCATTTTGCCGCGGATTTCTCACGCTACATGCAGATCCTGGACTTTGACGCGCTTCGGCGGTCCACGGGCACGAGCCGTCCGTCGGCGGAAGCACAGACGCGGCTGCGCACGTCCGAGGAAGCGGTCGTTGCGGTCACGACGCAGCTCAACGCGGCGCTGGACGCGCTCGAAGCCCAGCGTGGATACCTTCTTCGCACCGAACTTCTCTCGCTCTCGGCGTCCCATGTACATGCCACCTCGACCCTTATGATGATTGTCCAATATCTGTGGATACATCTAGGTCTTTGCATCGAGCAAGAGCGCCGAGACCTTCCAGCAGCTCATCCCGCTCATGCCCGGCATGGGCTTTTGGCTCACGGAGCTGAGTGGCAAGTCGGCGGGCTTGGTGGACCCGACTGCGGGTCCGGTGCCTGGTATCTTGGACTATGCGGGGCCAGACGCTGTGCTCTCGTCGCCGGTCAATGCGATGAGCCTCCTCGATCTCCCAACGACCGACGTTCCACGCTTGAACGACCAAGACCCGTTTGAGGTACCTTGGGCCAGCACGTAACTTTGCTCACGAGCGCGACGTAGCGCATGCACTGCGCGCAGCAGCTGGCGCAAGAGACGTACCAAGCGGCGCCCGAAGCGACCCGCGATGCAACGCCAACGACGAGCAGCAACCCCGTCGATGCGTTCGACGTGGGACTGCAGTGGATGAGCTAGAGCGATACCAGATGCGCCACCATTGCATTTTACAGACGTAAGAATAGCTACAACACGGTTTGCTCTTCCAAGCTAGCTGCTGCTCTATACGACTACACTACTACACTGTAGTACTGGCGGTGGATTCTCGTGATAACGGACTTGAGAACAGCGCTGTGATGGGATGGCGCTTGCCACAGAAGTTCTATGGCCTGTAGTTGATACACGACTCCTCGATCCATTCTAACGTTATTTGGATAGATGGATAGTTGGATAGATAAGGAAATTCCCCGCGCGCGCGGAAACTTCAAACTGGGTTTGGCCGGGCAGAGGTCGCGACCGGATAATGTCGGGTAGTATCCGGCGGTGTTTCCATGCACCATACAAATGGCCCAGTGATTTGTTTTAAATTTCAAATCTGTATCCGGATTTTACCCAGTCAGACGCTACTGTGGACGGCGACGGTACGCGCGCATGGTCCTCGACGGCAAAGCTCATCATGGCGCGACGGTGCTAGGTAGACAGCAGCATGATCCGGTCCCCGATGCTTCGCTTCGGCGAGAACGAGACCGACATCTTCCTCCTTGACGTCAGCGTCTGCGACGTCCCGGGCGACACGGGCCTTGGCACCGCGCTCATGGTCGAGCGCAACAAGCTCGCCGAAGAGGCAAGGAAAGACCCGCTCAACATCGAAGTCATGAGTCGCCTCCTCAAGAACTGCGCGCGCCTCTACAGCCAGCACCCGCGACCCGTCGAGCTGCTCTTCCGGCGCGCCATGACGACATTCCAGCGCCAACCGCTCGACTCGGCAGGCGCCGACCTCTGGATCGAGATGCTGCTTGGACTCGGCGCGATACTAGCAGCTGACACGATGAAGAAGCGCGATATTCTGAGCCAAGCGTCCTTCAGCGCCCATGTCAAGGGCAAGACTGTCTTTTACGAGTACTTTGCCAACTTTGAGATGCAGCAGAGTACGTATACGTCGATACCATCGTTCCACTCAAGTCCAACCTGTAGATCGATCTCAGGCCGCACAAGACCTCCTCAACAAGGCTGTCGAGAAGGACATGCTCACACCAGAGGCGCGACAACAAATTTGGGACAAGGTGCAGCGTACACAGCCAGATGCGTCCCAAGCTCCGCGCGAGTTTGTCTCGCGACCACCCGACACACCCGTGCAGACGTCCAGGAGCTCGCACGTCTATTCGACGCCACGCAACTCGACGACGCCTGCGGTGGCACGGACGACGAGCACGACGCTGCGCACTGCCAGCCTTGCCGAATCGTGGACAACACCCCTCCAAACCGAGCCTCGGACGACCGCTGCTGCACCGTCGTCGGTCTTGCGCACGACGAGCCTCTCATCGGCACTCACGACGCCGCTCCCGTCGAAGCTCGGCAACCGAGATGCACGTTCGACACAGCGAAAACCCCAAATTCGGCCCAGCTTCCAACTGGGTACCTGCCGTATTGCTCGCATGAGCCGCTCACGCGTCCATAGGCTCGATCGGTCTCCCAATGCGCGTGCGGCAGTCGGCCGCGTCGCCCATGTCCCAGGACGAGGAAGATGACAAGGAACATAGCCCACCGCCGCCACTGAATCGCCCGCTCGTGACTGGCATCAAGCGCGAGCCCAAATACAGCGAAGACGACGATAAGGAAAATAGCCCAGCCGCGCCATCAAGCCGCCCGCTCGTCGACGGCATCAAGCGCGAGGCCAAGTACCCCAAGGTACCAAATTGCGCTCGAGTTCCACCGTGCAAATGTCGCTATGATAGAAGGCTCCGTTCCAGGAGAAGGACATTAGCTACATCAAGGACTGGAACCCGGCTCGCACACCGTCAGCAACGGAGCCGACCAAAGCAAAGCGGGCATTGGGCTACTTGGACCCCAACTCTCTCGAGGTACACAACGTGCCCGCGAGCCCCGCCGTATCAGACGCCAGCGACATGGAAATTGAACTCTCTCGCCAGAGCGTCCGCGACGACGACGAAGACACGGCGTTGCTACTGGCCAAGAAGACGCCGCCGAGCGGTCGGAAGCGCGCCTTGTCGCCGTCGGTCGACCACGCCCGGTCGCACGCGCCGTCAGCCAGCTCGACGCCCTCGAGCGCAAGTCCGCCAGAGCCAGCGACACCGTTTCGCAACTCGGATGTGTCCTCGGACGTCATCGCGCGTCTCATCGACTCAAAAAACCACATCGTGGTACGACCTCTGATCGGTTTGGACAAGATCTCATGTGCGAATCAGGTGAATGGCGTGACGTTCTTGAGCCTCAAGCAGATTGGCAGTGGCGGCAGCAGCAAAGTCTTCCGCGTCTTGGGACCCGACATGCAGACGTATGCGCTCAAGAAGATCAAGATGAAGCGCATGGACGACGCGTCCGTCATTAGCTACGAGAACGAAATCATGATGCTCAAGCGTCTCCAAGGCTCGCCGTACATTATCAAGCTCCTCGCCAACGAGATGGACTACGAGGGCAAGGTGCTGTATGTGGTACGAACCTCGTCGCGCTGCTCGACCGCCAGCAACCTCTTCGGTCGTAGGTCATGGAGCAAGGCGAAATCGACCTCAAGGACAAACTCAAGGAGCTCAAAAACAACCAGATCGTGCTTGAAGAGAATTTTCTGCGTATCACGTGGCAGCAAATGCTGCAGGCAGTGAATTACATCCACAACCAGCGCGTGATCCACGGTAGACCAATCCGACAACCACTACTAACAAAGGCGTGTCGTAGGGGACTTGAAGCCAGCCAACTTTTTGTTTGTCAACGGCGCGCTCAAGCTCATCGACTTTGGTATCGCCAAGGCGATTTCGAACGACACGACCAATATCGTGCGCGAAAACCACGAGGGGACGGCCAACTTTATGCCGCCCGAAGTTGCGTCCGGCATCGTCGCGACGGATAAGGGCGCGACGCCCAAGAAGGTCGGCCGCGCCGGCGACATTTGGTCGCTCGGGTGCATTCTGTACCAGATCGTGTACGGCGACACGCCGTTCGGGACGTTCAACAACATTTTCGAAAAGTTCATTCGCATCTCGGACCCAAACCACGCCATCACGTTCAAGAAGCTGCACAACAAGCCGCTCGAAGACGTGATCCGGTCGTGCCTCCAGCGAGACCCAAAGCTCCGACCGACCATCGAAGGGCCCAATGGCTTGCTCGAGCATCCGTTTTTGAACCCGAACAAGGGCGGGCTGACACCGTCGACGCTCGAGACGACCTTGGCCAAGGCCACGCAGTTCATTTACGAGCACGGGTGCTCGCCCGCCGTCGTCGACATTGCCGACCGACTCCAAGCTGCTGTGAGCCACCACCATCTCGCCAACGTCGTGCCCAACTCGCAAACCGCCCTGTAATCGTTCTCGTCATATTAATTATTTGCCCGCCTTGGCCTTTGTTGTTGTTAAGTAGGTCAATTATTTGTTAGTGAGCAGAGCTCTCTGTTACGGGTCTGTTGTTGGAGCTGCTGGCGCCTTGGACTTTGTTTACTAGTATCTCGTACTGTACGCTTGCGTGTCAATTCGACTAAGTGCGATACCTCGCACTTAAACGGCCATTTGCAGAGGTGACGGCCAAGCTCTTCGTCGGCCTCGACCTGTCGACGCAGAGCATGACAGGCGTCGTGGTCACTGCGACGCCGACGCCCAAGCCATTCGCAGTCGTGGCGTCCAGGACCTTCCAGCTCGACGACCGGCTTCCGCACTACGGTAGCCGCCCACATGCAGCTTTTTCCTGGCACATCGAACGGTAGGCACGACCAAGGGCGTCCTGATGCACGGCGCGCACGTCGAAGTGCCCAGCTTGATGCTTGTTGAAGCTGTCGATGAGATCCTGCTCGAGCTCTCGGCGGCCGTGGAAGCGGCGGGGTACTCGATGGCCAACGTCGTCGCAGTGAGCGGCAGTGCGCAGCAGCACACAAGCGTCTTCTGGAGCGACGCAGAGCTCCGCCTGCCTCACGACGCGTCGACAACGCTGCATGACCACTTGCAGGACGCATTTGCGCCCGCGAACGGCCGCAGCTGGATGGACGCGACAACGACAACCGAGTGCCGGGCGCTCGAGGCCGCTGTTGGAGGCGCCCAGCGGCTGGCCGACATGACGGGCTCGCGCGGCTACGAGCGCTTCACGCTGATCCAGCTGCTGTCCATGGACCGCAGTCTTCTTGAGCGCGCGGGGCGTGTCAGCATTGCGTCGTCCTTGCTCACGTCGCTCTTCCTTGGGGCGACGGCAGCGGCATGAACCTCATGGACATCGCGACGCGGCAGTGGTCCAAGGACGTTCTTAAAGCCGTGGAAGATTGCTGGGCGCCATCGTCGACGCTCGAGCGACTGTTCGGGCCGGCGCCAACCGCGTCGCACATGTCGCTCGGTCCCATTGCGCCGTACTTTGTCGAGCGCTTTGGCTTTGCCGAGACATGCCGCGTGATTCCGTTCTCGGGGGACAATCCGTGCACGCTCGCAGGTACAAATTTAGTCCGTTCTAGCTTCCTTCTACCAGCCATGAGTAGGCATGGGTTTGGCCTCGGTCGGGGATGTGGGCATTTCTCTCGGTACGTCCGGCTGCATGTTTGTCGTCGCCGCGCCAGAAGCGATCCGCCCGTCCGGCGAGGAAGGTCACGTCTTAACCAACCCCGTCGACCCCAACACGCTGATGGTATCATCCTTGCGGCTGCTGTTGAGAATAAACTTACGCTGACCGTAGGGTATGCTTTGCTTCAAGAACGGGTCCTTGGCCCGCGAGGTACCCTCGGTTGAATTGGCCACGACCTCTGCATATTTGCGCTATAGAACGTTCGCGATCGACGCGCCGACGGGTCCTGGGCCGAGTTCTCAAGACTCATGGACGCGACACCGCCAGGCAACAACGGTGTCATGGGCTTCTTCTACCTCCAGCCCGAGATCACGCCCGTGGTTCCCACCGAGTCGGCAGCACCGACCCTTAGCGACATCCATGGGTATATGGCGGACGGAAGCACCTTGGACCTATTGCACGCACCCCCCGCCGTTGAAATCCGCGCCATGGTCGAGTGGCAGTGCCTTGCCATAGCGTGCCACCTGCAAAAGCTGTACCACGGCCCGATCGCGCGCCTCATCCTGGCAGGCGGTGCGTCCGTGAACCGATCGCTCGTCGAGACGCTTGCCAATGTCTTCAACGCACCCGTGTACATTGAAGACAACAAGGTCAACACCGCGGCGCTTGGCGGCGCACTGCGTGCGCAGCACGGTGTCGCGTGCGGCGACGCCGGCATGTACCGTCCGTTTGACCCGAAAGTCGGCCTCGAACTTCGCGCGACACCAGCGCCAGAGACGCGCCACGTGTACGAGCACATGATTCGTCGGTTCCCGAGCTTGGAAGCGTCGGCGATTGCGGCCCAGCGACAACGCCATGGCCCGTGAAGGTTTCAGTTTATATTGTTTTGATTTTGATTCAGGGCGACCGATTGGTCCTTGTAATCCAATCAAATGCGGGGAAAAATGATCCTAGCGCACACACTGCCTCGCACAGCTGCATGACTTCGCAATTGTCAGAGGGAAGTTGTTGTTTCTTTACATTGACTTGGGAGCTGGGGAGAGTTGCAATACCCATGTCACACAACTCTCTTGGTACTCGACGTACATGCATGATGTACACGTAGCCAGAATATGAAGATATACTGTGTTCGCCGTGCACAGGACCTTGCCGCTGGGATGCATGCGGGGCCCTTGTCCAATTGGTCTCTAGGTTCGGAGCTTGCACGTGGCGGTGAGCCTTTTCCGCTGCGAGCGAAACCAAGCGCGCTATCGACCCGACCTTGAGGATGCCCGTTATCTGCAGTGCGCTTGAGCTGGGCACGGGTCTTGAAGGAGGTTCGTGTTTGTAGCGACAATGGCTTCAGGGGCGTGGGAGGGGACTCCAGCATTTCGAAACGTCTGTATCACAAGCTGAAGTCACTTCTCAGGCGCAGCGCTCGATGCGCTCTTGGCACTCTTGACAGGTGCTCCCGCCCTCGAGACAATGACGTTGAACGAGTGCACATGGAGCGATTGCCAATTTGACGTCGTCGCATCGGGCCTCCGCAGCTGCATCAACCGCGGTGTGCGCGACATGAGCCTCGTATTGTTCCATCTGACGAGCTTTGCACCACTTGCTGCTACTCTTTGCGGCGCGCGTAGCTCGCACGGAGTCCGAATCGAGTTGACGACGAGGCAGCAGGCAAGTACGC